TACTTAAAGGATATTAAAGGATATTGCAGGCACACCCAGAAAAAGCCTACAGGAAAGGGAAAGAGGGCACACCCACACAGACAAACTGATGCCTCCCAATACTCCCAATAAGGAAAGCATAGCCTCCAAAAATATGAGTCATCATCAACAAAGCAGAACCGGAAATGTGTCAAGTTACATGTGTCAAGTTTCAACTTCTAGGATAGGGGGTGTCTAAAAATGTAAGCGCTCCATTGTGCCTCAAAAATGTAACTTACATTTTTGAGGTCATTCCCCGGGAAATCACCCATGAGGCCTCAAAAATGTAAGTTACTTTTTTGAGGCCACCTCAAAGTTAATGTAATTACATTTTTTGAGGCCCTACGGATAGGAAAATGTAACTTACAATTTTCGACGTCCCCCCTCAGGAAGGGGTAGGGATCACAAAACATATAAGTTACCGGGGCGGCAGACGGACCACGAAAGTGAATAACATTTCTGGCATCGCACTGTGTTCCTGCATTCTGGTGTTATGGCCGTTCGTCGCCCCAGTAACCAGTACTTTTGGGGCTAATGGGAACGGACAGTGGCCCAAATACTAGCGCAGAGAAATGTACCTTTCACCCCCTGGGAAGTCTTGGTCGGGGAGGCTGACCTTGCCGCTGTCCGATGGGGATTGACTAGCCTCTGTTGTCGTGGCTTACTGCTGGTCGGCATCAACACTGAAGAAAGCCGGTTCCATGTGTCTAGCGCGGAGCCTCGCGACCACTTGTAACCAACGCGTCTCCATCACCTGCGTGTTCCTCTTGGCTTTCGTTTCCCCGTTGTCAGGTATATTTTCGATGTACCCAGTCTGACCTCTCCTATTCGATAAATGGCAGTTGTCATGTGCAGTGTCCGTGTAGTTTGACTCAAAAGTATTCAAAGCCGCTGAGCATGTTCCAAAGAAGGTAACAAATTAGGGATGATGAGAAACGTAACATAGTACCATTTTAGCCCAAAAGGAACCTATCGGCCTTTACGTTGATGCAATACTTTACGGAGAATACACACAGGTGCCCGGAGTGCTTCCCGCTGGACTATACAGCTTTGCTAGGTCTGTCGCAATCCAGCGGGGTACCCCCAAGCATTAATGATCACAGGAACTGTTCCATTGGCATCTCAAGCATTTCACACACTGGTCCCGATGGGCAAAGTTCGAAAGATACGAAGACTTCAAACTTTCCCGAAATGAAAGTCCAAGTTCAAACCAATCGACCTGGGTGGGTCTGAAGCAGGTTGCTAAGGGTCAACATCTGAAACGGACGAATGGCGGGGTTTCGTGTCAGGAGAAGGTTTCACTTTTGCGCCAGAACCATACAACGAAACTTGGCAACCAAGGCTGCAACTGGAGACCTTTGAGAATGTCCAAACTTCACACGGCTGTGGGCTTTGTCTGGAGTTCAAATTTCTTGCTCTACAGAGGCTGTAGACCACCTCCCCCATCTTCGCACAGGCACATTTGCAGAAAATTGCTGTCCAAGGTCAGTTCAGAAGACTTGGATGCCTTTGTTTCAAGACCTTTGCGGGCCCTGGTCGAGAAGCACACCCTCGCCTGTTTTGATCAACCTACATGCAGCATGCATATTTACTCGTATATTTGAGACTCGTTGCTCGCTGTTCTTCTCTAAGAAGAATCTTTGGGAGGTAGTTGTGTTCTCACAAACGTGCCAGGCATATTCAGTTTGACGACCCTGCAGAAGAGGCTTCCATTTGATTCGATTGTTTTATATATGTATTTAGTTTAAGAATGCTTTGGGGGTTGTAGACTGCTCCGCCTTCACAAAGCACAAGTGGTGATCCTTCAAGGGCCCTCCCAAGGTTTGCAGTTCAGATCTCGTAAAGAATCAAGTATAACTACCAGTAGTTTGTGCTGTAGACAACTAGTACTGGGTGAGACCAACCCTCGGAACTGGAAGGCAGATGCAAAGATGCCCTTTATTCTTGATGCTCACCCAGCGATGCAACATGCTGTTTGTGCCTCAAGGAACATGCAGTCATGGAAGGCTTCCCTAGTAAAGAAAATACACTCTGGATCAGGTTGCCAAAGCGATGATGGGGCGGTTGGCAAAAGAGATGCGCAACTATGCAGCGATGCACAACAAGCAGTATCAATCTTACCAAGCATTCCTAATCTTGGACACGACAGGAATGCCGATCGCCGCAACCAAGGAAGCTTCCGAAGTTGATTCACATGGACATTGACGGAATTGTCGCTGGGAACAAAGAGCGACGTCCCAAGGAAGGAGTTGCTCACAAGCTGTGCTGGTGTCAAACCTGATTCGTAGTGAAGCTTGAACAAGGTTATTGGAGAAAGCCTTGGCACAGCTCCGCGATCTTTTTGAAGGTGGACGGCTGAACCACCGTGATTCCTCAAATCGAGAGTACCTTCACAGTCTTATATACAGTCTATTACCTTACAATGCCTTACTACCTCTCGCACATCGGTCCACGAGTCGATGTCATGCCGGACACTCTGGTCTGAACGTGGAAATTCCCCCAAGAAACACACGCAATCACCACACTCATGTACAGGAATCGTCCACGTTTCGAGACGACGATCAGCTCCTAAGCAGAACAATTGTGCAAGCATCGTGAGGCCTTTGGCCGACACATATGGCGCTGCACCTTCTATACATCCTTGGGGCATGATTCGTCCACATGCCCGTGGCTTTGTGGAATTGAAACTGCCCGGGAACGGTTGGGCTTCCTCTGACTTGTGTAGGAAGAGCAGCGCTTCCCTCAAGATCTTATATAGGTCACGGAAAGTAACCCCTGATTGATCACCAGGCAGACGGCGGCCATCTGCATGGAATGCACAGAATGAGATCGATTCATCACCAGAGCACTTCCACTTCAAGTCTGCCAAAAAACCAATAACAACTGTCCATGTTTTGTGGCCATGTCGCCATGATTTCGGAGGTGCAAGATCGGATGGTATTTTGGGCTTCCACCGGAACTGTGATACCGGTGTAGACCAGTGCCACTGCGGGTACAAGGCTGCTGCTTGTGTACAACTTTTCCGGAAGTTCTGAAACACCCTCAGCCTGTTCATCAGCTGGGGCTTCATTCTTTGTTGGCAGCAGAGCATGCAACACAGAAAGCCAATGATGATGCTTGTAAATCTCATGCTTGGCCTGTAAATGAACTGCATGTTCAACAGGAGAGAGGCGATGAGCCAACTGCTTTGCAACCCGATCAGCTATACGGTTCAAAATAATATGCTGTTTTGTGGAGCCACGCGCAATGGCTTGCTCCTCAGTAAGCAAATTATCTGGGATACCCTCCAACACATGTGCCGGAATCCAGCACGCTTTGAATGGCTGCAGGTGGATTCCCCGTCGCTGCTCAACCAAGCTCCTAAACTTCCGCCACCATGCTTGGCATCGCCGCTTGACATCAATGATGCCATCTGCCAGAAATGAAACAACCTGCGACACAGCTGATTGCCAGTCGGAAAAGCCCACGAAGCACTGAAAAAGACCTGGAGGATGGCCCACAATTCTGTCACATACGAAGACAATGCCCAGTGGTTCACCATTCCACACGACACAGTTTGGCCGCCCTCATCAATAATTGAGAAAGTGCCAACGGCCAGCCAGAAGTTTTCACCATGCACAACTGAGCCATCCGTCCATCTCTTAGTCAATCCATCCGGGCTGAAGTACTCAGCAGGAACAAGCCCATCCGCAGATTGATGAAGGAATCTTCGGCGGCCAACAAACCAAGGGTGCTCAACATGGCTTAACGTTCGGAAGTTTTGACCAAGCTGATGCCCCACTGGGGCTCCGATGTCATTGTGCAGAACTTTACATTCAGCCGTCAAGTGGTCCATTGACTCCTTAGTGGTTTGACAGAAACGGCGTTCGGAGGATGACGTCCAACCGGTGGCTGCCATACGATCATTTGTCAGTGAGCAACCTACAACAACTGATTCAAACCTTTTCCTCAACGGTAATTCACCAGGTGTAGCAACCGGCGAATGAGCAAGATACAAGGTCGAAAGTTGATGGTCAAAAATGCCTTGGGGTTTGCAAAAATCTTTCCGAGGGGTATGAGTGGCCCGAGCATAGCAGGCATGCCTGCACACTGCTTGGAGGGCTCGCCTCGCATCTTGTGGAGACAATTCAGCAATGCAAATTGGGGCAGATCCCTGAAAAGACAAGCGCAACTTGGTATCGATTTCCAATCCCAAGGTATCACATGCCATCAAAAGCCGACTCGCTAACGAGTGTGGCAAAGCGTCAGCGTTTTCCATGGTTCGTTGAAGTTGCAGAAACAAACCAGGTTGCAAGTGGCATGATCGAATTGTTTCCAGCGCCACCTGATAGGCGCAAGCGAACGTCGGTTCGGTACGATGCGGTGCGGACAAAATGGCTTGAACAAGCCACTTTGACCTCCATTTTGGTCTGCCATACCAGAGACACCGGACAATCGCATGTTGTATTTGGTCAAGTGCACGTTTGGGGATGCGTGAGATATGTGCGCCGAAAGTAAGTCTGGGGATGACTTTGGCTCCAACCAGAAAGGATTTGATTTTACGCGACACTGGGAGCACGGCAATATTGTCAATGTCATTCAACGCTTGTTTTAATGACTTCGCAGAAAAAACCAAATGGTGATTTGGCTGAAGTGTAAATGCGAGTTCCCAAAACTTCAAATTCGGTGACAACTGCCAAATCAGCAAAAAACGGCTTGTGTTTGCTTTCTGCCATGGGAATTGTTGGACCACAATGAGGACTTACCAGCATTGAGTTTTGGCCGACTAATGCATCCCAGACACCTGTGAGTTGAACTGCTGTCTTAAGATGATGCAGATCAATGACGCGGCGCCACAAATATACATCAACGACGTAAGCGCGAACAGAGATACCTTGGAGATTTTTGATCAAATGGTACCAGACTTTATTATATACGTTCATGGCTAAGATCGAAAAGGAACACCCTTGCGCCACTCCATTCGCACGGGTGACTGGAACAGGTGAGGTCCAACTCCTAAACGCAAGATGCTTGCGCATGCCTTGATACATCCTGATGAACTCACTGGCGACATGTTTGGGGATTCCAAACGCAACAAAAAGGCAGGCGGCGAATTGTGGGATTATTCGGTCAAACGCCTTAGATTTGTCAAGTTTGATCCCTACCACGGTATCGCTGTCAAGGTTAGCTGAATCAAGTTCAAGGCGCACTTCATTCGAGAGATTGGACATCGCTCGGTGCTTGACACCCCCAATGATTGCCATTGGAAAGGCCTGCTGTTGCCATTGCTGCAACTGTGCGTATCGCGCACCCGTAGACGCCAGAAGCAGGGGAGGGAGGACTGTTATAAGTCTCTTATTTGTGGCAGAAGCCGGTCCTGGCTTGTTCAGTATCACTTGCTTTGCAAACACCAGGGCTCTTGGCAAAGGGTCCATTGGACTCCTCAAGAGACTTGAAGAACAAGGCAAGAACATGAAAACACAAAGGATGGAGGGCCTGTGGCTCTTGCGTCCGCCATCCGTCCAACCCAGGGGCAGCCTGTTTCTTTCTTTTCTGGATGACTTGGAACAAATCTTTGGGCGAAACCGGTGGAAGGTGCACTTGGACTTGTATGTCATGGATATACGGCCACGCAGCCTCTAACATTTTAAGAGGGTGCTCCGACAACACGTTCGCAGCGAAAATGTCGTCCCATGCTTCATTAAGAGTCTGGATGGCTTCTTCTGGTTGGGTTACAATTTGATTGAGACTATTGGTCACAAGATTAGGAGGTTCATCTTGGGCTTTTTGGCGGAGATGTTGAAAAATGTAAGCGCAACCATTCTCGGCTGACTGAGTGATTTTCTTTTTCCAACTTTGAATCCGCTTGAGACGAATGCGGCTATCAAGTGTCGAGGCAAAAGTTTCAGCCCATCGCCGCACCAAGTGAATTTCCACGAGGGTTGGTCGAGACGGGATGGTCCACACGATGGCTTTGCAAAACCGTTGAACACCATGGTATGCTTTCACAGCAAGCCTAGCGGTATTGAACCCATCCTGGGGCGATCCGACTTCGCGAGAAATCCTCACAAAAAGCTCATCCAACCTATTAATCAATTTATACAAGTCAAGAGAAACTCGTGTTGCAGCGCATTTGGTGGAAAGCTGTTTGGGACAAACTTTCTTTGCCACAAAAAGAGGGGGTTTTGCACGTACGCGAGGCCCAGCGCCCCGCAAACCTCCCTGATCAAGGATGGATTTTTGGAGAACTCATTGACAACTAACTTCCCATTTACTGTCATGGCAGGGAGCATTCTCAAAACGCTGGGCAAACTGCTCATGCCACACTGGTGACGGCTCATCGCACCACTCCGCAGGGGAGATATTAGAGACGTCAATAGGAGCAAACTTATGCAGGATGAACCCTGTTTGATGAATGGATTCCCAATGGAATGACACCTTAATCGGGCGATGTTGTCGTCCAAAATGCTCCATCACTTGAACATCACGCATGGCGCAAAAAGCGGCCTTGTTCAAGAGAACCCCATCGATTGAGGTGCATCCTTCGTCCGCTCCAGAGAAGGAGCAATCTTTGGAGTATGTGTAGGGTCTCACCGATTGCCCCCACTCATCCGTTGTTGTCAGCGGGTCAACCCATCCTTGAAAGTTGAGGGCTCCGGCAAAGGACTCATACGACCCTGGGGGGGCTTGGAAGTCACCCGCAATAATGACAGGGATGTCCCCAAACTGTGCAATCACAACCAGAAGATCACTGAACAACTTGTTGTTATCAGCATGAATCCTCGAATCGCTTGAAGCACCTGTGCAAGCGTACACACTGAAAACAAGAGCTTTAACACGCGAAGTGACTTGAAACCAAGCAGCTGCAACACGTTTGGTGTAGAAAAGCTGCTGGTACAAACCTGTTGGATCATGCGCAAACTCAAAGGGAGTAATGAGGCAATCTGCACCTAAAACAGCTGTTCCCCCGCATGGTGTTTTGGTTGTGCCATTAGCATGCCAAAGGCCAGGAAGAAGTTGTCCCAAAATGGACCTCAGTCCTACCGCCTCAATATTCTTGGTGGAGGTAGGAACATTGTTCTTGCCGATGCGGGTTTCCTGTAAACAGGTTATGTCAGCACCCCACGACTTCCACAAGTGATTCGTGTTAAGGGATCCTACATTTGCAGACGCGAGTGTACACAGCTCTGGCCCTTCTCCAGGAAACCCTTTGGTGTGATCAAAAGATCGGTAAACTAGAGTCAGAGCGGCGCATGCTGCACTCACAATGCGAACATATTTTGCCACACTGGCACGAGTGCAAAGTGGGAAGGGCCCACTGTTCCTAGGTGTGAACACGTCAAAGTGAGGCTGCAGGTCACACCGTTG